TATAATTTTTTTCACCCCAGGGAGGGTCGGGAGGGGGGGGGGTTGGGGGCGAACCTAGGGTAAACAGGGATGGCCGAAACTCCCTTCATGGAGTTTCGAAATCGAGACCTCCCGTATGGGAGAGTTAGTCAGCGACCACTTAAGCTGGACCACTTCCTCTAATCCTATTATATATTGATAATTTATATGGTTGTTTTACTAAATTTATGTTTTTAGGGTGTGGAGTTGAGAATTTTAGATCTATCATACAGTAGGTTGACAGTTGTTCTGTAGTTCTGCACATTTCTCAAATGCTAAACAAGATATTGTGTAAATGTGTATTTACAGGGCTCCTATTGTTGCCAAATGTGACCGCAAAAGAGTTCTCTCGTCGTGGGCTCCCTATTGTGGTCAAATGATTCCCAGAGAATTTCAAATTGAATTTTCAAAAGTTAGGAACTTCACTCCTCGCCACTTTGTTAAGAAGTTGTCAAAAGACCTTGGTGTGCATGGTGTGGTGGCAGGTACATTATAGGCAGTTGTTGCACTTATGTAAGATTTACTCCCTCAATCCCAAATAAACTTCACTTAGTATCATGGTCTTTGATGTTCATCTTTGGCCATTATCATTTATATACTATAGAATAGTAAATAGCATAATGGATTAATATTTCAAAAACATGTGAATATTTAAGCAATTTGATCAGGAGTACCTTCACCAACAGTTTTATATAATACTATTATTTACACAAAAATGAATTGGTATCAGATGTCAATTCATGTTAACTGGCCTCAAACTCTTTGGGGAGTAAGACCGGATGTTGTTGATACAAATTAATGGTCAAAGTTTATGGATTTTGACTTGAAAAGACAAGTGTGAAGTTTAGTTGGGTACGCCTGGCTTGATGTTTTAGTTTTGAGTCTTTTGACCCAAAAAAAAACAAACGAAAGTCTTGTTTTTTTATATACTTTTTTAGCTAATGGACTAGCACACATTTTTAGGGTACATTGGTAATTTTACTATGATGTACTTCTACTTTATTGGATGGCTTAATGAACATTTATTTGCGAGCACAATACATTTAGTTACTTTCCTGACCTAAACTAAGGCATTCTTTTTCAGTCATATTAATCTAGTATGGAGTAGTAGTCCTATCATTATTTCTTTTAGTTAACCAACCACTATTTGAAAACGGATGAATATACTTTCAGCTTCTAAGAAAAATAGACATAGTTCAGCGAGGCTAATATGGTCATTTAGTTTCACGCGTTAATTTATGTGCCCAAATCTTTCAAATGCATTGTGTATCAAAGGATTTCAAATGCATTGTGTATCAAAGGAGGGAACTACTGGAGCTTAATATGAATTTGTGATCTGATATAGGAGAAAACTACCGGTTTGGATACAAGGCTTCTGGCGATGCATCAGACCTTGTAAGGCTGTGTGATGAATATGGTGTGAAATCTTGTATAATTAGTTCAGTTATGGACAAGAATCAAGATCCAAAGCACTTAAATTTCTATGACCCGAACGACGTGGGACTGGTTTCTTCCACTCGTGTCCGTTATGCTCTTTCTAAAGGAGACATGAATTACGTGTCAGAGCTCTTGGGACGCCACCATCGGCTTTTCTTGAATGTCGGAGACCAAGAAAGATTTTTTGTAACCAGTGATGCTAAGAAGTGTAGGTTATCTGCCCCAAAGTCGCACTTGTTGAATCTTCCGCCACGGGAAGGCATTTATGAAAATTGTTCCATTGTTATTTTTGACAAGAATGTTGTATCTTGCAGAGTAGTCATAAGCTCCTCTGATATTCTCTTGGAATGGGAAAAGCCCCTAAGTTGTTTTACTTGTGAAGAGTTAAGCGTAATTGGTATTGACATTCGTGGGTCTAGAATTTGATTGAAGTAAAATATGTAAGCCATTTTTTGTGTTGTTTCAAAGGTGAATTGATGGTTTCTATAACTAAACCGAGTTATAGAAACCGTGTCTATGTATGTTGTAATAATAATATCGTAATTTGTTGTGGAGTGTATTTGAATGAGGTCAAGTTGGGTCTCAATGTGTTCAAGTCTTGAAGGGTTGCTTAGGCCCCATTTACATATCAGCATTTGCTTGGGACTTAATTTGGAACTTGACTTATTCGGTCAGACATATTCTTACTTGATCGTTCAGCAGAATTTCTATACTCCTTACCATTCAGACACTTCGTGTATAGGCTATCTCGGTTCTATCCCCCTCTGTATATTCCATCGTTTCTCTAACATTGACAATACCCAACTACCCAAGCGGCCAAGCCCTTGGTGATTGTCTGTAACTGTGTGCGATCTATCGTGAAAGAAGCTCCTTATCGGCTTCATCCATGTATTTGCTCTTATTCTAAATCTAATTGTTCTCTTCTTGTTCAGTTTATTTTTCAAATTTGCTAGTAAATTGATTATATTATATACTTCGTAATTAGCTAAAATTTCCGTAATTGAGCTGTGAAATTGTGATTGCCTTCTGTAAATCAGTTTTCTTTGTTAAGCTTTAGCATCCATGTTTGCAGCAGTCTAGTTTTAGTTTGTTTGTTATATAACATGTTGCCAATTTTCGTGTGCGTGCATGATATGATGGATCGGTAAGACCTTCACTTTTTTGATGTTTTTAGGCATACTCATTTCATTCTTTAGGTATGGAACATGGTGGCGATTCCAAAAAACAAAAAGAAAAGGAAATATAAATCCAGCACTTGTTCTAGACGGAAGGGTTATTTGGTCATTAAATATAATTCAGACATCTCATTCAGCATCTATAGTAAAAAAACTTGTTATCTTTGTGTCACTTAATCCAGACAGACGTCTTAATCCATTCAGAATTTAATGAAGAAAAAAGTAAACAGTCCCTTAGTAAGAGTTGAAATAACTATTACGGAGTATCATTTGTGTTGGTTTGTTTCATATTCACAAAATAAACTTAAAAACACATACTCCGTATGAAACAATTGGGTAAAGTCATGCATTTCAATGTGTTATTCATAAAATATAATAAACATCTAATTTTATTCCCATAGCCCACATTCCATTACTGGGCTCGTCAAAGTCATTATAATAAACAAATTTATCACTGTCCTGTTAAGATCGTCTCATTTTTACTTTTCGATTCGTCTCACTAAAATTGTCTCATATTACTTCCGTCTCACTCAACTTTGTTAACTTCATATTGAGTGTGTAATTAGAAAAAGTAAAATCTGTGTGATTAAAGTTTGTGTAGTACGTAGATATATGAGAGCTAAATGAACAAAGTCACATATTCATTTCTTTAACATGAAAGTAGGAAAGTTTTTGGGACTAGACATGTTTGAACAACTTCAGTTAAGCTAGTTAAGCTTGTTTCTATTTTATAAAAATCAAGATCCTTTTCATTAGAACGAAAGTTGAAAAAGTCCAATGAGACAAGAGTATAAAATTTGGTAAAATTTGTGCAGTTTTAAATCATTCTTACTTTATTCTCATTTTATCAATTCAAATATTTAATATCAATCACATAAACTTGCTTTTCTTGTATCTGCACCACCTCCTCATAACCAATGTTAGTGGACGGAGGTAGTAATAATTTGGAGTAAAGAGATCACAAGATATCTATTCCCAATAGACATATTCACTTTTCAATATTTGTTTAATATTTTTCCTATTATCTTAGATTATGCTGTATGTTTCTACGTAGTATAAACATATGTTTCTATTTTATAAAAATCAAGATCCTTTTCATTAGTATAAACATATGTTTCTATTTTATAAAAATCAAGATCCTTTTCATTATAAAAATCAAGATCCTTTTCATATATTACTGTTTCATAGGTAGTGAAACAGTAATATATGAGTGATTATATATAATACGATAGTATGCTACAATGAGCGAACGTGTGATACTTTGAGGTAATATATATGTTTCTCATTGCCGTCATTTTTGGGATGCATGTTTGAAAATTACTTCTCATTTTCTTTACAAAAAGATTTGTGTGTTTTGATGTTTTTACATCCGCATTCACATAGTATTGCAAAATTCAACATACAAAAATACACGAATACATAATATACTAATCAAATCTAACTAATTCCAGAAACACTTTTCCCAAGTGCAAAATCAAAAAATTTATTGCAATGCCGCAAGTATCAAGTACTCCGTATTAAATTAATTTTAAACAAAAATAATCTCCATGAAGCGCTTACGCGAAAAACCTGGGGAGAAATCATATGTCAGAGTAGGATGCGCCCTACACACAACCCGAACACTCTACGTTAGTCGTTAGGCCAGGACTCGGGCCGGGTGGCCCGACCCGGAACCGGCCTGAACCGGCACTGTTCCGGCCCGGTGGCCCGGTCAGTGACCGGTTCGGGTAGGCCCGACCCGTTGGGGTTCCGGTCCGAGCTCGGGCCCCTCAAAACGTGAACCGGACCGGCCGGTTCGGGCCTGGTCCGTGCCATTTTATTTTATTTTTCTTTTATTTTTTTTGAATTTTTTTAAGTTTTTGGGACTTTGGGTTGGGCTGGGTATTTTGGGTCATTTGAGATGGTTTAGGGGTGGGGGGTTAGGGGTTAATTAGGAAAAGGCAAAAAAAAATTGAACCGAGGCCCGGCCCGGCCTGACCCGGACCCAGGGGTTATCCGGGCCGGTTCCGGGCCTCCCCTTTCCTGAACCGAGGCCCGGCCGGGCCTAGGCCCAAATTGGGTCCGAACCGGCCCGAGTCCACCCCTACTCTACGTGGATGCATGGCGTGTGGTTAGCTGCATACACAAGGTCAAGGCAGCCGAGATACGTCCATGGAAGATGGGGGATACGCGGGCTTCACCAAGGGCGTAGCTAGGGAGGGGCCAACCTTGATCCCGGTTCAGCCCAAATTTTAAAAATGTCTATATTTTTAAGGTGAAAAAGTTAATGTATTTTTTTCAAAATATTCTTTGTACTGGTCCGATCCGGCGGCTCAATGCTCTGACTCCGCCCCTAGGCTTCACTATGGCTTGGAAGAAATTGATGGGTAGAATAGTGGGATATGTTTGGGACTTTGAGCTCAAAAATGGTATTGCTAACACTTTTGATTTGATATTTGCAAATGACTATTAATAATGACTTTTAGTAAAAGTCATAGAGCTCAAGAAGTCCCATTTTAAAGTAAAGACTCGTATATGACTAATAGGTTAGTGAAATACAAAAAATTGACTATTTTTCTTATTTTCCAAATATCTGACTTATCCGGCCCGCTACTTCCATCCCAGCCCATTATTTTGTTTTCGTCTCTGAAGTCAGGCCAACATCATCATTCATCAACCAAGGAACGCCATAGCCTGTCGCATGAGCAGACATCTCCAAAGGCTGTCGTAGGAGCAGAGGAGACCACTCCCCAGGCCGTCTCCGTCGCATCCACGGACAGAGCAGAGGGATCGCCGCCGGCGCCGCCCTCGCCCTAGTCTTTGCCGTCCGCGCTCCCGTCTTCTCCCTACGCAGTGCGGCCGGGTGATCTAGATCTAGATTACGGCAGCTAGCTTTGAGGTTGGGAGGTGGTATTGCGATGGCTTGGGCCGGGATTTGGGACAAGGGCTGGGGCAGGGGAACTTTGGGACGGGACTGGGGGGAGGGTGGGGAGGGGGCTGGTGGGTTGGGGAGGGGCGGGGTAAGGCAGCGGTTGTCAACGGGTCATTGTTGGGGTGTGTTCGGGGCTGAGTGCGAGTGTGGGAGTCGGGTGATCGGTCACAATGTTGGTGGCGACAATTTCACCGAACCGGAAACGGTCCCAGTGACATGTTTTCCGACGGTAACTGTAGAAGTAGTAAATAAGACGATGGTCACTGGAGAGGTAGTAACTGAGATGGACGGTGTCACCGGAACGCTAGCTACTAACTGGGACAGTGATCACTGGAGCGATGGTAATTGAGGCGATGTCACTGAGACGATGTCATTGGACTGTAGTATTTATGATGAAGCATGACGGTAACGAGAAAAGTAAATAACTGAGACGGCGATCAATGGAGTGGTAGTAACTGAGACGATGTCTTCTACGTTGGTGGTAAATGAAACGATAGTCACTGTAGCGGTAATAATTGAGATGATGTCACTGGAGCGGAAGTAATTGAGACAGTGTCACTACTCACTACTGTGGTTGTAACTAGGATAATGACGTGGAACGCTAGTTGTAACTGGGATGGTGATCACCCCGATAATTGTCACACAAATTTCATTTCCGAATTTCTTTTTCAGAAATAAAATTAAAATAAAAAACATTAATTCTATAGACTTTTTGTGTGGTGAATAGTTACAGATTGCATTGAAAATTAGAAATATTATTAAATTAAAAAGAGAGCAGTACAGTGCATTCTTAAATTGAATTAAGCATTCTTAACGCAGTACGAACTACGAAGTATATGCCACGTGTAAGTGTGAGTTGATGGTGTTTACGAGTGAGCCGTGTGAGTGTTTCCAATTTTTTCATCCGTTCGGTCACGTTTTTGTCTTTTTTTGAATTGAACTCACTTTTGTGGAACCGGACCTCTTAATGCTAATATCAGTGTCCTTTTCCCTATTTTAAAATCTTAACCTAGGACAAATTTTATAATGTTTTATTACTTTTTTGTAAAAAAAATTGTTTAATACGTAGTACATCAATGAATAAAATAGTCACAATAGAGTGTATGAATAATGTAAAGTCAATTAAATTAAGTATATTATTAATGAAAGTTGTACAACGAAGAATAGCAAATTAAAATCCTTGCAATTATATAGACTAGGGTAATATTATTTATTTCACAGTGGGGATTTGTTTTTTGTTCTTTTTTGAAAAAAAAAATAGGCTTAAATTGATAATTCATCATTTAGATAGTAGTTTAGATAATCCAACAAAAGGATTCATGACAACATTGGAGATTTATAATGTTAATTGTATACTCACGAATGCTAAATATTTTAAATTGTGTACTTAACAACTTAAATTTACTTTTGTGAAAACAATATGGTCATGGTGTTATGATAATTTTTTATATATCGTTCGAGAGATATTAAATTAAATATACAAGTGTGAGTTACTTATTTCACCCTCCTTCAAGGTTTAGGACATTTAAATTATTTTCCTCATATTGTTTCATTTATAACATTTTTATTACTCCATACATGCATATATACGCGTAAAATATAGTTATCTTTTATCATCTTTTCCCTAAATTTTATGTCTGAAATATTCACATATCATGTGTATTTTTTACCTTTTTTATTTTTGTGACTTATTTCTCTTATTATGTACGGCATCCCTCCATTTTTACACACATTATGTCTAAATATTTCTAGTTTTTCACTAGACCTCCCACGCAGTTCTAATAAAACATAAAAAACACTAGCGAACATGATTTTAACTTGAACATAGGAAAAACGCATGTGTGAATGCAATGTTGTTTGATCATTTATTGATGCTGGTTTATTACAAAGCCGGCGGCCTGTTTTTTTCTCATCATCGCACTTTTTGACTTTGAATTTTGTTTGTCTCCCACACACGACAAATACTGTATATTTTGACAAGATTGGTTATTAATTCAACACGATTCTAAACAAGGGTTGTAAATTTGTAATATCAGATAATGTTTTGGTTTTCTTCTTCGAAATTTCGTGTGTTTTGATCTTTTTGTTTTGTTCACAAATACGTTATGAGAATTTGATCGGATTATGACAGCTTTTGAAAGCAAATGTCTAGCTCCGTAACAATTTGTCTCCGTTGGCATGATATTTTAAAATACTTCCCCTACCTCCCCCAATTAATTTCTGTGTTTGACTTCACAAGTTTTAAGAAAATAAATTTGACTTTACTGTGGAGTGCACTGTTTGACACTGTTTGTACACCATTTGACACTGTTTAAACATTCTTTGACACTGTCTTGCATTGTGGAGTATGTTTTTAGTCCTTTCAAATATTCCATCCGTCCCGAAAAGGTTGGCCAAAGTTGACTTTCACGTTAAATAATAAATTTGTGCCGAATTAACTTTAGTCACATATTCCTTACTTTAAATGGAAATGACAAATCTTTTTTGGACATCCAACAAAAAAGGAAATTTGGCTAACCTTTTCGGGACAGGAGGAGTATGATAAACTATAAGCCCGTTGGTGACACTGTTTTTTGGTTTATCAGGCTTATCAACCAACTTTTTCATCAAACACATAACTTTTGATTTCGCACGTTGAATTGTGTAATAAGAAGTAAAGTTGAAGTTAATTTTCTGGCTGTATTGACTGAAGTTACTATAGATGATCATTTTAGCCATTTTTCATATATTTTTTTCTTATTTTATTAATTAAAAAAATTTTAAATATAAATTTTTCATAATTCAATATAATTAGTCAATGCAACCACTTCCGCCAGAACTTCATAAATTTCAACAGAATTCTTATTCTTTTATTTTTCATTTAGTCCATCACATATGATAACAACCCCACTTGATCTCGAAAACTTTAAAATGTCAATGCCAATATTTTTGAAATTTTGAAATTATTTGTATATTCTACATCTATTTAAAAGATTATTACATTTTCTATTTAATTTTTTTACATTTTCACTTTGTTTTTTCAGTTTCTGATTTTTTAAACTTTTTTAAATTATTTATCCATTTTTTCATTTACGCTATTTTTATATTAATGTTACATTAGTTTTCAAATTTATATGGATTTTACAAGATTTTTGAGCCCAAATTTATACTATGTATGATTTTTCTTTTTTGACCCCAAATCCTTTTTCCTATTTCTCCCCTCCCAACCAAGCTCCAACAGACAACGTTGTAGAATTTTTCGCCACGCATCATTTTTCACCATGCTCCAAGCTCCAATTGACCACGCATCATTTTTCACCATGCTTTTCCATCAGTCCTTTATCCACCATTTGAATTTTGCAAATAGCCCCTGAATTTTTACCATTTTTTCAAATACATAAAAAAAAAACCAATGCCACCTCTCTTTCTACACACCCAAAGCTTTTTTTACTGTACAACTAAAACAAAATTTCTTCTTCATCATCTATTATCCAGAAACACCATTGTGTTGGGAATAAACACACTCACCTTCCCCATGCCTCAATATAGCATACTATTTAAATAAACAAATGATCTTTTCACAAATTTGCCTCAACACCCCCCTCCCCCAATCAAATGAGCTGTTTGTCTTCCCATCCAACCATCCGACCGCCTGCTTTTCCGTAAAGCTAAGCGCCATTCAATAGGTCTTCGTGCTTGTGTTTTTGTTCTGATGACAGCATTGTTTGCTTTATTCTTCATCCCCTTAATTTCCATTCTTGTTTATGATGACTTATCATCCTCTTCATCCTCTGAAAAGATACTACTGATGAAATAACGGAATCTTTTGGAGTAGAGCTTTGGGTCAACAGCGGAGATGGAGGTGGAATCTACTTGGAACGACTTGTATGCGTGTTCAAGCTTCTTGCTGATGTCATAGTCTTGAAGAATGTCTATTATGCCTAAGTAAAGAATCACATTTGATGTTTCCTTACTACCCTGTTGTCCAAACGTTTTGCTGCCCGGATCGTGATCCATTCGAGGCATGTGTACTGCCTTTGCTGGAAGATTTGAACCTAAACCAGTGTGTGGTGTCTGCCTGAGGAAGTGTCAAGATGATTGTTAAAGTTAACGGAAGTATTTATCAGATTTAGGCTTCGTTTGGTAGCCATGCCTTATTATGCTTACCAGCTCAATAAATTAGCTTTGGACTTGATTAATGGGTTAAATGGGTGTTACCAAAGTCCAAACCCTTTTTCTAAAAAATTAGCAAATTCAGCCAAATAGCCATGACCAAACACGGTCTTAGCCTATGAGTTACTGGCTTACTTCTGGTACTTCAAATCAATCATGGTTTACTGTTATCTAGAAAAGCAGACCAAACATGCAACAGTTGTTTAAGAAAACAAAATTTGTGTTATTCCTAGTCAGCCACAGCCTATGGCTCAACTTGAGACACAATGACATTACAGCACCAATAATGGATGGGTTCAATCAGGGGTGGACATAAAAGTTCAGATTGACTAAATGGAATTAACCCTAACCAAAACCAAACAATATGTAAGTATGTAACTCAGTTTTAGGTTGATAATGTTTCTCCAAATCATATTAAACCGAACTAATATGAATAGGAAAAACCTATAGAAGTCCAATACCATTAAAAAAAAACTCCAAATTGAACAGAATTGAACCAAAGTAAGTTTGGTTTAATTGGCAATACTTTCTCAAACCCGTTTTATACCAGAAAGTCAAAAACTCAAACAGGAATGTCCACCCATAGGTTGAGCCCATCAAGTCCAGGAACAAACCCATATGTTAACCCTTGGATGGACCGTTACAAGCCAAGGCCAAATGCAGCTCTCATTCTGGGACACAATTATAATCAGGGGGTTTTCCTTAAATATTACTAACTCCGTCCCATTTTATATGTCTCCTTTGGTTTTGGCACAATTTTTAATAAAGTGGTTAAAAAGGTAAAAGTTGTGGTTGAGATTTGAGTATAGTAAAGTTACAGAGTTTTTGCCATTTTTGGTCCCTCGACTATTATGTCAACGACACTTTTGGTCCCCGACTTCAAGGTTTCCCACATTTAGTCCCTGAGTATTGTCAAATTGACACTTTTAGTCCTCCCATTATGATTTTGACACAATAAGTGGAGGACTGAAAAAGTCACTATTATAATAGTTGAAGGACCAAAAGTGTCACTTTTATGAAAGGTGAAGGACTAAATATGGAAATTTTTAAAGACGGGTACCAAAAGTGTCTCTAGCGTAATAGTCAAGGACTAAAAATGAAAAAAATCAAAGTCGAGTACCAAAAATGTCAATGACATAATAGTCGGAGGACTAAAAGTGGAAAAAACTCTAAAGTTACATGTTGTGAACCACATATTTCTTTCCAAAAATGGAAAGATGACACTTATTTTGGGACAATCCAAAAAGGAAAGTAAGACGGGTAAAAATGGGACGGAGGGAGTAGTAATAAAAATCATAAACATTAATATTACTTAGTAACTATTAGCGACTATAATTGTGTTCAAATTTATATCATAGTAAGTTACTACGATGTAACTTTGAACACAACTATAGTCACTAAAAGTTACCAAGTAATATTTGTGTACACCACATTTTAAAGGGTAATATTAATGGATTTTTTTTCTTATGATAACGCTTTTTGTAACAATTGGACAATCATGTTACCAACTATTATTGTTTGTATGAATACTACGAAGTATTTTTCATTT